CGAGGAGATTTGATTGTCAAGTATTTATGTTAACTACTATTATTCTAGGTGCTTTTATTCGTTAACTTGACCTTCGCTCTCAGATCCCGACATTATGGCAGTAGACATTGATACGGATACTTAGCAAAAAATGGAAAGTGAAATTTTTTAATGTTCAACCTATAGATATTAGATTTTTACTATGCATCGCTGTAAAATATTTAAATCCAAACAAAGTTTGCAGTGGAAGAACAACTGAAGTGAAATTTAACGAAAAACGTAATGCCGTGAAACTAAAAAAATTTTTATTTTAATAAGTTTAGCGAAATTATCGGAGATGAAAATAAGGTGGCCTATGTAGAATTTCTAGGTGGATCCGACAGCGGGTTCCTTGTAATTCTATTTTGACTTCTTCTTGACGCGCTAATGAGAAAACAAAAATCTATGCAAAAACCACACAGATTGTGTCGATGTCAGAGAAGATGTCAAAATAGAATTACAAGAAACCTGCTGTCGAATTCATCGAGAAATTCTACATATACCATCTTATTTTCGTTAAATTTGGTGCAGCGCTGCAAAAGCATCTGATTCTCTAATGGTAAATCTTTGAATGAGTTGCATCATGAATGGAGACGAACAAAATAGCATTTTTATGAAAAAGTTCAAAAACAACAAGTCATTTTTTCTTATTTTGAAATAAAGTGAGTTTTCCCTTCTTTCTCCATGTGCTAAAGGGTTCAAACTTTGCTCATGTACTCTCCTATGTCTACTACCAGAGAGCGATGCTTTCTAATAAACTTTCCCATTAAGTTAACGAAAAACGATCACTTTTACTTTTTCATATAATGTGCATATCACTGGCTACGGTGACAGGGTCGCATGAGAGAAACGTACATCTATCCACCAAAGATCCGATTTTTAGAAGAATAAGAAGGAGAAAAAAATGTCTTATTGTAGTAAAAAAATTCAATCTTTACCTTCTTTTAGCAATGAAAAACAATTTTTTTCCATTATTGAAAGAGTATCCATCTATATCTGTAGTATTAATGATCTGATTTGAACTATTCTGATAATGAGAAGCACATGTTTTGCTATCAATTAGCTGATATAATATTCTAATAAAAAGCCTTGAAAATAATATTATATGAAAACTACCATCATAAAAATATGTCATAAATAATGCAAACACATAGGTTACCATTATTTCATTATTTAACTGATTATCTATTTGAATAATTAAAATTGAAAAATTATAAACATGTACCGCTTCTGATACACAGTGACTTGTATGATGCTAATACGTAAATATAGAACTTACTGAAGTATAGTAGCATCCCATTATTCGTAGAAGAAGATGAATCTTCTAGAAGGGATTATTTAAAATATATCCTGTTTATTTATATATTTTATCAAACGAAAGACGTTCATGAACCTTTTCAAGTTGATATACTAATGTCAGATTTCCATTATCATCATATGATTTGTCATCTACCAATGTCATCTCATCTGTTACAAGATAAATTAAATCAGCTGTGTCAAACTTTTCTTTTTGTATTAGGTAATATGAATACTTATCTGAGCACAGAAGAACGAGTGATTCATCATATTTATTTTTTTACGAATACCTGAAAAAAATTTCTTCTTTTGAAGAGTGAATCTAAATAACTCTGGTTATTATCATTTATTATTATGTGTAATATTTCTACTTAATAATTACCCTTAAGAGCCTTTCTCATCTATAAAATAGAAATGAAAAAAGTATCTGATCTCAATTAGAAAATTAGATTTGTAATATCAAGAATAAATAAAAAATTTTGTATATTATGAAGTTAAAATAGTCTGTCTGAAATTTTGTTTTCTTTGTACCAGTACTATGTGCTGTCATTTTAGCGCATTTTCCATTTTTTTGATAGTTGTTATTCTACTGTTTACTGAATGTTTAATTCCATCATTTAATTTTAACATGAAAGAATTGTTTTTTTTTTCATCTATTATCTCTTTTTAATTCGTTGGATGTGTTATTTTTTATATTTTCATCTGTTTAAGATACATTAGTTTTGATCAACTGTTAATATTTCATACAATGACACACCCATACGAGTGTCAAACGTATGCAGAACAAAAATATGATTTTTCTGATTCATTCAACAGTTATTTATTCGAACATTTTGCGTGTAATATAGCGTTAAAATATCGTGATATGTATCAAAATGGCATAAAATCTTTTCACTAGTTTTAAAAATAATTCCGATTTCCCCAAGAGAAGAAAGAGAAGGTCGAACTAAATAAAAAAAATGGACTATTTAATATGATCATTCGATGTGTCGTGCATTATTTGATACGAGGATGGCGAGAAATCGAAAGGGTATGAAAGTTCGGTACAGAGCACAATTTCAATTTTATCTTTCATTTTGAGACGGGATCGAAATATTCATTCTAAGATTTTTTTCGCCCTTTTTGGGTTCGATCAGTCTACGTTATCTTTCTTGAATTTTTTTTTTTTTATTCTTTTTTATTAAATTTTTTCTTTCTTCATTTTTCATTTTAAAGACTCTTTCGCTCTCTGTCTCTGTCTTTCTCATCATGAGGAGGTCATTGAGATATAAAAAGTTAATAAATTCGCAACGTAAGATATGTAATGACTTTATAATATTCTACACCTTGACATCAATAGAGTCATAGATTAAGCAAGGATCATAAACCAATTGAAAAAAGATTCATCGCCCACAATATTCAACATAGTTTTCATTTATAGATATTAAGAGCAACAGTACATAATGATATATATTTATTAAATATGTTCACATAATTCACATAATGATATATATTTATTAAAGATTAAAAATGTCTAAAATAATTTTATTTATATGTAAAAGTTCGTAAAAATGACTAGTTGATTTAGATGAAAAAGTGTCAATTGAAAAAATGATTTATAATGAGAACAAATATACTGCCATATGTATTACAAAATATAAATTACTATTACACCACTAAATAGTAGGTCAATATCGACAAATTGTTGTACTTAAAGAGAAAAAACAAAAATTTTTTTTTTCTTTATTTTCTGTTGAAATTTTTGAGTCTGATACATGATGCACACATGTCTATTTACACAATGATATTTATCTATTATTAGTCATCATATTTCACTATGTAACGCTGATATAACGTACAAACAATAAATAGACATTATTCATTTTTTTTCTTAGAAAACTATTTTCTTCTATTTCTATACTAAGTTTAAATATCTCGTTGAGTACCACGTGTATATATTTTAGTTGAATTTCAATAATTTTTCTATAGAAATAAAGGAAAACTACACCTTTTTTCTTTAAAATAAAACGAGGTGCAGACAGATCATCTATCTATCTTAATAAAATATTATCGCTCGTCATGTGACAAGGATAAATGTTGAGAACAAAGTGTATCACATAAACATTTTAACTATCGTTTCTTTTCTTTTTTTTTAAAAAGAATTTGCCAAAGACTTAAGTCGGAATAAAAATAAGTTAAGCTTTTAAAATATCATCGTATATAGTCAACAGAAAATAAAAGAATATACTTCCTCTCTCTCTCTCTCTCTCTCTCTCATCAAACTGATGTATCGTTTATTTTTCCAATTACAATTTTAGTATAGTATTGATACTTTTTTGAGTCTAGTGATATAAATATTCTCATATTACATACTATTTTAGATTTATTAAAAAATATATGTAATCAAAATTCTTTTTTTGAACATAATTGAATATCTAAGAATAAGACACGAAATATATTTATTATTTATTTAGATTATTTTTGCTATATTGATATCAAATGTTAACATTGTTAAATTTATATCAGATATCAACAACTGAGATTTTTGACCATATTTGAATCTAAAAAAAATGAAAATCATACTTTCTATACTGATCATTCATCTATATATACATCGTTCATTAGAGTTTGAAACCGAATGATGTTTTTGTATTATCGGTTTCTCTAATTTTATATTAATAAAAACAGCTGTCAATTCGAGAATGTGTAGATTAAAAATAAAAGCAACAAATAATTTTTACCACATTATTAATTTGATTATATACTAGTCGATGATATAAGACAAATTAAATGATATTATAACATGAACAAAAAACTTTTCTTTTCTTTTCTTCTTTCCCCCCCACTTGAAAATGTCATTAGAAAATAGCATAGACTGGATGTTTTGTGAACTTATCAATCAATAACATCAAAAAAAAAACAAAAAAAAAACAAAATTTGTTTCTTTTGTTTTAGTGGAGAATGTACAGATGACACAATGAGAGAGAGAGAGAGGGAGAGAGAGAAAGGAAGAGAGAGACAGAGAGATACAGTCTTTATTTCTGGTATTATATGATGAGGAATAATTTGATTTTTCAAACAAATGTAAATCAACACTAAAACAAAAAATGAAACTATACCATTATTTGTTTAGCACAAATTTTATATGTGTGCTTTTTGAAAGTCGTATTTTGGATGTATTTCAGCATATTTATGGCATATATTTTTTATCAAGGTATAATGTCATAAATTGGTGAACATGAAGTACTCAAATAATAATAATAATTATGACAACAACAATAATCTTTATACGCTTTACCATTATAATATGCTATATCATCACCGAAAAAAGACAAGAAAGGAAGAAAAGGGAAGAATGATAGCGATAACGTTATTATGTCAATAGTATACCTTTTTTTTAATTTTTTTCTATTTTACTTTTCAATTTCTTACTTAAACACTCGGGAAAAAAAATACAATAAAATCGATATATAAGTATTGATAGCTAACGAACTATATGTTAGCGTTATTATAATAGAAAAAGATGGCACAAGTAAGACAAGAATTTAGTGTAGCAGACAACAATGAACCTCCTGTTATCAGAAAAAATTATTATCCTTTACCGAAAAAACTTTTTTGGCCATTAGTAATATTTTTGACGGCAATATTTATCGTTTTACTTGTATTAACAATATGGTTTGGTGTTAAAAAACCCAGAGGTCCAACCGATGATAGTGTGTACTTTAAAAACTATCTGTTTCTTTTGTGAAAATATTTTATATTAACTTCGGAGCAAGAAAGAAGAATGTCCCACCATTGGCTATCATTATCGTTGTTAGGTGCTGTCGAATGGCAGTTTCTATAGTCCTTTATCTTTCTTACAGTTGACAACCTTATGAGATGGTCGCTTAATTCGTTATTAGTTATCAATTGCAGCTCTGATCAAAAGAATAGCCTGACGCAGAGTTCGCTTAATTACTTCCCAATCAAGCTCTCGTACATCCTCGCTAACCACGTACTAGTATATTCTGAAAAGTCACGAAGACTATGCTGAGGAATCGTATCGCATATTATAGTGTAGTGCTTATGTTACCGAACAGGTGATCCAAGAATTCTGATTTAGAAGTTGAAGTTTATATAAGAGAAAAGACAGGGATTTCTATTATTTGCACCTTGATCCTTCTATAACTACGTCACTGATCGGTGACATACTGCAGATACATGACAGAAGAGCACAAATCTCGATGTGTAGTTTTCTTATTTGGAAAGAAAATGTTCCTTCCATTTCAGGCCAAGGTTCTATGTTGATAAAACTTTCTGATTTAGGTTCAAGTCTGCCACTATCAACATTGACAACCGGCACTCCAGTAACAACATTTACAACCACGATTCCAGTGACAACTCCCCCACCTGCACCCTCGGTTGAACGTATACCTGCCACATTAGAACAAGAATATTATAAAATCTACCTCGAACCAAATTTAATCAACAATACATTTAGAGGTCAAGTAGAATATCAGTTTCGATGTCTCAGAAGTACACCATTAATTCATTTGCATATGGTCGATCTTATGATTCACAATTCATCGATTAGCATAACGTTCCCAACGTCTGGAAGTCCGCAGTATGAATCATGGGACTATGATAAATACAATGAATTTATGATAATTAGATTCGATTCAAATTTCGTCGAAGGCACTGTCTATCATTTAAATATAAGTTATTCTGGTATTCTTTCTGATAGTTTAACTGGACTTTATATTAGTAAATATAACGATACAAAAAATCAACCGAAAACATTGATGACATCACAAATGGAACCAACTCATGCACGAACAGCGTTTCCATGCATAGATGAACCAGGAAGAAAAGCTATATTTCAAATTAGTATCAGACATAATTCTCCTTATACTGTATGGTCAAATACACGAGCAGAAAGTGAAATTGATCAAGGTGATGGTACAATAATAACCACATTCAAACCTACATTGAAAATGTCAACATTTATTCTCGCTTTAATTATGGCTCTTGAACAAGATTTCGGTTGTAGACAGGCACAAGCAGTTCCAGGATATAAAAATAGTAGTCATATTATACAATCAAGAGTATGTGGGAGAAAAGATATTTTAGAACAGTTAGCTTATGCTGAAGAAGTTGCGACTGAGTCATTACGTTTTTTCAACGAATATTATGATATGGATTATCCTCTAGAGAAAATTGATCATTTTGCTGTACCAGATTTTGGAGCGGGTGCTATGGAAAATTATGGTTTACTTATATATCGAGAAGTTGGACTGTTTTTTGATGAGAAAACGGTATCTGCATCACGTAAACAATATATAACAACAGTAGTCGCACATGAAGTTGCTCATCAATGGTTTGGAAATTTAGTATCGCCAGAATGGTGGGGTGAATTGTAAGTTCTAATTATGAAAATGTCAATTATTTAAAATACATTTAATTTTTTTGCTCAGATGGTTGAAAGAAGGCTTTGCTAGTTATATGGAAACATTAGCAAGTGATCGTATTGAACCAGATTGGAAACAAGATGAACGCTTTGTTGTAGAAAAAATATTTTCGTTTATGGAAGCTGATTCATTACCCACATCACGTCCTATTAGCATTAACTCAACGAATCCTGCTGACATTTTTCAATTATTTGATTCCATTACCTATGATAAAGGTGCAACACTTATTCGTATGATGAGTATGTTTTTAGGAAATACAACATTTCAAGAAGGTATACAAAACTATTTAAAAAACCTCAGTTATAGTTCGGCAAAAGAAGACGACCTATGGTCATATTTGAGTACAGCAGCTAAAGACACTATTTCTGTGGGTATAATAATGAATGGCTGGACAAGACAACCTGGCTATCCAGTCGTTGAAATTCAACGAACTTATGGCACAACGAAACAATTGGACATAACACAAACACCATTTAGTCTATTTTCATCGGAAACAAAAGATGAAAAATGGTGGATACCATTCAAATATTTTGATACACAAACAGTTAATAGAGCCGATAGTCAAACGGTAAGTATACTGTTCGTCTAAATTTTCAAATGTTTATATTCGCACTGTTTTTGAGAAACTATTTCACATAAATTCCAAAGAGCTTGCCAAGGAAAAATAAAAGTGTATATATGACAAAAAAAAATTTCTATACTCTAAACTCTCTTTAAGTGTGTCACTGTTGGAACTGCAGGGATACGATAGAAGAATGCTAGACTGGATGTTTTGTTCTCTAGTTCGGATGAAAGGAGTGCCAGTTTAAAACATCCAATTTATGGTAATAAGCTTTTTCTTGTTCTAGTTGATTTGGATAAACGAAACAACAAAAACAATCAGTATAACAACCGATGATGACAAATGGATTTTAGCTAATCCCGGTTATCTTGGTATCTATAGGACTAAATATGATCAAGAAAACTTTCGCCTCATTCTTGAGCAACTCAAACAAGATCATACTCGAATACCAGTTATAACTCGTGGTGCATTAATCGATGATACATTTGCTCTCATTCGTACAGGAAAAGTAAATACTACCGATGCTTACAAACTTTTAGGCTACTTAAAAAATGAAAGAGAATTTGTACCATGGACAGGTGCATTTTCAGCTATGAGATACCAAGAAGATTTGTTGAGTGGTACCGAAATTCTAAACAGTGTACAAGAACATTTTCTTGAACTAATATTACCACTCTACAATCAAATTGGATGGGATCCAGTTGATCAATCGAAAGATTGGCTAACAGCACTTCTTCAACCAAGTGTTTTGTCGGCTTCATGTCGATATGGACACAAAAATTGTATTGATTCAGCACGTAGTAGATTTCTTCGATGGAAAATGAATCCGTCTCTAAATCAAATTCCAGCCACACTACGTTCTACTGTTTATTGTATAGCGATACGGGATGGAACAACGGATGATTTTAATTTTCTATGGGATCGTTTACAAAGTGAAGCAGTGGCCAGCGAAGTATTAAATTTATTAAATGGAATGGCATGTACACGAGATAATAATTTGATGGTATTTTTTCTTAATCAACATTTGAAAAATAATTCGGCTATTCGAGAACAAGACATGGCAGCATCGCTAGAACGTATTGCTCGTTCACCACAAGGAAATTATCAAGCATGGACTTATGTACGTGAAAATTGGTCGAAACTATTTGCAAAATTTGGTAGATCATTAGTATTGGGTGACATTATTGATGCAGTTACAAATCGATTTGTTACAACTATACAGCGTGATGAATTTAAAGCATTTGCAGATTCAATTCCAGATAAAGGTAATTATGTTTTGAAACTGAGATTTTTCAAAAGTCTTGAAAAACCTTGAACTTATGAGGGCATCGCGCGAACTGTTGCATCGCTTTTCCAGTCAAATCTAGTGGATTATAGGTTATCCACTATGCTGATTCCAGATATGGTCATGGAAGTTACTTTTAGGTCTCCAGAGACTCTTTTTCTGGAAAACAAGTTTTTCAGAAATTTTAAAAAGTAACCAAAGCCTTTCTTAATGAGGCATGATTGTAGCCCGCAAATTTCTGATTAAAATGCGATCTCTCCCAGCTCTACATGACCTTTCTTTACAAAGTTATAGAATTTACAAGAAAAGTCCTAAATTAATTTCTTATTTCTGTAGCTTTGAGCTGACAATGAACATTTAGGGCTTTTCTTGTAAACTCTATAACTTTGTAAAGAAAGGTTGTGTAGAGGTGGCAGATGTCTCATTTTATTCAAAAATTTGCGGACTACACTTGTGCCTCAGTAAGAAAGTTTTTGGTTACCTTTTAGAGTTTCTGGAAAATTGGTTTCCAGAAAACCGCTTTCTAAAGGCCCCTAGGTAGGTACCACTATGATATTCGAATTCAGCATAGCTGATAATCTATAACGCACTAGGTTTGACTGAAAAAGCGATGTGACAGTTCGCAAGGTCCTCTCGTTAGACCATATTAAGTTGTCTCACACGATGAAAAGTTGCTACCTATTATAAAGAACATGACCGTGGATTTGGATTGATACAATCCATGCTGATAACTAATCGTATGATAGTCTTCACTAAAGAACAAAATAAACTTTTCTCGCTGAACTAGATCTAACACGTATAATCAATATCAATTCCAAAAATGTTTAGGCACCGCCTCACGTCAATTCATTTTATCAATGGACAAAATTAATGCAGCAATAAATTGGAGAAATCAGAATATTGATCCTCTTACAGAGTATATTGATCCAAGTGGTCTTGCAACGGATAAAAGTCAACGTTTGCCATCGGATGTTGTTCCTACTCGTTATTCTCTCTGGATAAAACCCTATTTAAATATCACAAATGATAATTTACGTTTTTCGGTATTTGATGGCGTAGTGAATATCTCATTGAATGTGCGACATGAGACGAATCGGATTGTTTTACATACAAAGTATATCGACATAATAAATGTTAGATTAATAAGCAGCGACAATACACAAGTAACAACACATTCATTCGATGAAGAAAGAGACTTCTTCATCATCATGTTAAATAAAAATTTGACATTAGGTTCATCACCTACTCTTTACATACAATATGTTGGCGAATTAAGAAATGACACGTATGGATTCTATTTGAGTTCTTATGTTCGTTCTGACAAAACTCGTGGCTATTTGGTAGCATCACAAATGGAGCCAATAGCTGCCAGACGAGCATTGCCATGTTTTGATGAGCCAGCATTGAAAGCACGGTATGTAATCGCAGTTGAACATGATAAACGATACACGGCACAGAGTAACATGGAAGCAACTGGTCCACCAATACCGGTACCAAACGATAATGATTGGGTCACCACAACATTTGCGGAATCCGTGCCTATGAGCTCCTATTTATTGGGTTTAGTTGTGTCCGATTTTAAATGTATCACAAATACGACAACCGGTAGATGGCGCAATATAACCACACGAGCTTGTGCACAACAAGAAAAAGTAGAAGAATTAGATTATGCATTAACAGTGGCTAGTCAAAACATAGAAGATTTTGAAATACAATATGATCTCAGTTATCCGTTAAGAAAAGTAGACCATATAGCTGTACCAGATTTTGATGCAGGTGAGTTAAAAGCCACTTAATTTTGAAATTTAATTTAACCAACTTTCAAATTTGGCTTTAGGTGCAATGGAAAATTGGGGAATTATTATTTATCGTGAAACAAGGTTATTTTATAATATAAAAACGTCAACATCGTCGAATAAACAAGACGTTGCATTGGTTATTGTACACGAGGTAAATAGACACAACAACAAAAAATAAACAGTTCTACACTTTTATTAATTTAACATTTAGCTAGCACATCAATGGTTTGGTGATTTAGTATCCCCTGCTTGGTGGGATGATTTGTGGCTTAATGAAGGTATAATAAAAAAATATAAGAAGTTCTCACTTGATAAACCGTCATTGGTATCATACTTACGAGCAAGAAAACTATGATGTGCTTTGATGGAAAAATTCTTTCAGTGACATAGTAATTAGAGAAAGTGTTAGAATACCCACAAAACGTTGAGAAAATATATACATAGTATTCGCTTTTATACAGAACATAGAAAATCAATGCGATTACAGATGAATTATCTACTAGCCGACTTTTTTTGCCCATGACTTCCAAACTAGACGGCCGATATGAAGAATTTTTCAAGCCGATAGAAACGATTCTATTGTGCATCTACAACGGTATTTATGTGTAATGAAAGTTCCCGTACCTTGCAGCGCTTTATTTTCACGTTACGATATGTGACGAAAGTCCGGTCAGACCCGTTAAAAAAACGCATTTTCGTCAAACCTAACGGAACATTCGTCACGTTTGGTGAATTTTCGTCACATCCACAAAAAACTCACCGAAATTCACGGAAACTTACGTCATCATGCTTTTTTCTGAAAAATGTGTTTTCGTCACATGTGATGAAAGTGTACTGTATCAACTGAATTTTGCTCAGATTCTCCAATGTTTTAGTAGTCAGAATACGATATGCTAGGGACACTACTCTTTAACTAGTCGATATAATATAAATTCAAACAAAGACTCTAGACAATGATTAATTGTCATACGAGATTGGACGGCTTAGTATGAGAAGTACACAATAATTATTAATTAATTACGCGCCACTTATCTATGTAGGCCCACTCATTTTAGTTTTCCATCGCATTTTAGCTCTTCAGAAAACGAGTCTTTTGACAAAGTAAAAAATTTAATTTTTTCTTTGAGCTCTTCGAAAACTTCAAAACTCAAAAAGAAAATTGCAGATATCGATCACCACTTCTATTCTATCGAGTTTAACATATATGGTATAAATTCTTCTTGCTTTTACAGATCGAGAGGATCTATATGATAGCTCTTTCTGATCCATATGATGATTGCTTTGTACATATCACTTAACATTTAACTCATCTACATCTAAGTTTTGTCGGCTAGTGGGCATTCTCGAAAAGCATCTTTGCAATCTTTGTTTAAATACAATATTTCCTTTGTCTATTGAAAGAAGATGATTGCAACTTTGTGATAGCTTTTCGTAGTAGCATCTTTTATTGGTTTCTAACCTTTCAAAAGTTCAGTACCAATAGTTTGGGCTTTAATCTGTTTCACCAATTCAGTGTTAAAGGTAATTGGCTTATAGTTTCTAGCCTGTACACTATATGTTACTGAGTGTAATAGTTACTGCGTATTTATCCTCAAAGAATATACACTCATACTATTCGTACTAGGTATACTTGACAGCGTATACACTCCTGAGTATCGCGTTGCGATTAATTATCTCACAGAAGAGAACAGCAGAGTCTCTAAGGATATACCTGTTTTCAGGAATTTATTATGTGTGAATGATGACACATAGTCGAAGAATAACTTCAGGTTGTTCAGCTACACAGTCAAAATATCTCTTTCCCAAACGCCTACAGCCAAACATTATTAAGAACGAGCGTTAAACTCGAATGAGAATAATACAAGAAAAAACTTTTGTGATGAAGCAATCTCGTTTCGTTCCACTCAGTCGACTTAAATATCTATTGTTGCTATAACGGCGACAGACGCTATGAGCAGCTGTGATACTAACAAAGTGCTTAAAGATCTTAAATCGCTTTCGATTAGGAATTTATTTGAAGTTAATCCCGTGTGCATGTTTTTTAAAGTTAAACACGGTTTGCTTCGCGTGCATGCGCAGGAATATATCCGTTTTTCACCTTAGCATTATCTTCGTGATAACACTAGAAATGATATGTATAACTACAGCGATAAAAGTGCTATTTTTCAAGGTTCTTTCTACCCAACTATGATTCGAAAATGGAAGGAGATTACAACAAAATTACCGTCGTTATGTTTAAAAAAGTTTTAGATTTAGAAAAGAGCTAAGAATCAGTTTAAAAGATAACCAGATAAAATATCGTTGACATTTAGTCGTCGAGTAGCTCTCTTTTGTTGTTTAACGGTAGATTTTCCACAGTTAAACACTTTTATCTCTTTCAAAGAAAATATGTTACATCTTCCTACTGTTTCCACTGTTCATCACTGTCTCGATCACTGTCTTTTAAAGAAGACTGTAATCATTTTCCATTTGATTGCTCTAATTATACTCCTCACAGAAATGTCTTATGTAATCAATTTAAAATACTAAATATTCCATTTAACAGGAATATTATTCTATTACGATCGTCCTTTAACATAATTAACTATTTGAAAACATATAAAGCAGTTTGCCAATTTATAACTAACACTGCTCGTTTTAAATAACCCTAATAACTCCATTGTGCTATCAAAAACTTTCACTTCGCTCTCATCCGTATGAATCTCGCTTTGACGTGTGGTATCTCGGTTGAATGTTTCCTCACCCTCATATACTGCATTGCTTTGTATTCGTCCTAACTCCTTTTTTTTGTGTTTTGGTCTTTCTCCTCCTCCGCATATGTGTTTTCATCTTTGTAATAATGATATAGACTTGAGATTCCTTAGTCATGTAGTAAAGCAAACTATAAACATGTAATATGACAACTATCTCGATTTGTTCTGTTATTTCTTCTTTAAAATAAAAAAGTTCGTGTAAAAACAAAAACTATGTATTAGATATAAATAGTGTACACTAAAATAGACATTGTTTGCGTTATGAGTAAATTGTTTACTTTCCATAGGTTTTGCTAAATGGATGGAGTTTGTTGGTACAGATCGCATTCATCCTGAGTGGCATTTGTATGAACAATTTATTAGCCAACGGTGGTTAGCCGTTATGCAGAATGATGCTGTCTCATTTTCTCATCCGATAAATATGCAGATAACACGCAATGATCAATTAACTTCAATATTTGATGCTATCACTTATTCTAAAGGTTCATCACTATTACGAATGATGAGAAATTTTATGGGTGAAAGCACATTTAACAAAGGTGTCGCTCAATATTTAGACAAACATAAATATGGGACGGCTAAACAAACAGATTTATGGACCGCCATGGGGCAAGCAATGATAGAAAATAATATTGCTCTACCAATGAATACGACATTGGAAGAAATTATGAGTACATGGACCGATCAAATGGGTTATCCGTATATACAAATCGACCGAAATTATGGGTCAAATACCGTTAACATCACACAAAAACAATTTTTATTTGACATTGATGCTCAACCACCAAAATCTCCACACAATTATCTCTGGTGGATACCACTGAAAATGCGCTCACAAAGAGCAAATCAATCGAACATAATGTGGCTTAGTAAAAATAAACGTACAGAATATAATGTACTGTCTGTATCGAGTTCATCTAGTGATTGGTTACTAGGTAATCCCGATTTATTAGGATTTTTTCGAACAAATTACGATGAACAGAATTGGAAATTAATTATAAAACAACTTGAAAATGATCATGAAAGCTTTACAGTAACAGAACGAGCAGGACTAGTTGACGATGTGTTTAATTTGGCTCGGGCAGGTGAGAGAAAGAGAAAGAGCTTATGATTGTATCATCTTTTTTTAATGTTATAGGCATTGTTCCGGCATCGTTGATATTTGACATATTAAAATACGCCACAAAAGAACAAAAATATATTGTCTGGGAACGTATACTATCTGGAGCAAGTTATATTGAGCAAATGTTAAGTAATACGCCCACCTATGATCTATTTAAAAGTTACATGACCGACTTGATATTACCCATTTATGATAGTTTGACATGGACAGAACAACCTAATGAAGACTGGCTTTCATCATTACATCGTGATCTCGTTGTATCAGCTGCATGCCGATATGATACTGACGATTGTACTTCGTTTGCAATAAAAAAATTTGCGGAATGGCAGAATGAACCATCAATTAATAATATCGATGCTAATCAACGTCGTGTTGTTTATTGTACAGCGATTCGTTTAGGTTCACGTGGTGAATTTTATTTTCTACTGAATCAATATCAGCAGTCAAATGATCCACAAGAAAAAGCTCGTATTCAAATAGCTTTAACATGTACACGAGATATTGAATTATTACAATATTTATTGGTCATTCATTTAGATCCGAATATTATACGACGACAAGATGCTTTATCGGGAATACGATCGGTATGTCGTAATTTTGTAGCTGAAGCAGAATGTTGGTCATTTATACAAAGACGATGGAACTTTTTGTTCAGAGAATATGGTGGTTCATTGAGTTTTGCAGATCTAATTAAAGATATAACAGCTCGATTTAATACGGAAAGTCAATTAACGGATTTTGAGCGTTTTTCCGCAGGAATTCAAGACAAAGGTGCTGCAGATTCAGAATTTAAATCGACAATCGAACGTATACGAGCAAATATATATTGGATAAATAAAGCTGAACCTGACATCTCCTCATGGTTCCTTAATCGTACATTAAATATCAGACTACCGACAGACTGGACACCCACTTTATATGAAATTGAAATTGATGTTCAATTACAGAGCACATATCCGAATAATACTGAACCAAATACAAAATTTAGTGGACACACCATCGTTACAGTGAATTGCAGTCGATCAACATCAGAATTAAAAATTCATTCAAAAAATCTAAGAATTCAATCAGCTACACTAAAACGAAGTGATAATACAAAGAATATTTTAATTGATTGGTCATTTCTAAATTTAACCGAAATAATGGTATGTCGTCTAAGTGAACGATGTCAGTTAAATCAAGTGTATATGCTTGACATATATTCTTCAGCAGAATTAGATCGAGACATGGCTGGTTTTTATTTAAGTAGATACGATGTGACGACTAATAGCGAAATAGTAACACACAATATTGGAGCAACACATATGCAACCTACTGTTGCACGGAAAGTGTTTCCATGTTTCGATGAACCAGCGATGAAAGCAAAATTTAATATTTCAATTATACATGACGCGAGTTTCCCAACTGTTCGATCAAATGGGGAATTAATACAGACCACAACATTTCCCAATGGACGTAAACGCTCTCAGTTTGATATTACACCACCCATGTCAACTTATTTAGTCGCATTTGTTGTAACAGATTTTGAATGTATTAGCGCCAAAACCAATAAAAATATAACAGTGTCAGTTTGCGGTCGTCCAGAAGCCATTCTAAACTCTGAAGGTGATTATGCACTGGATGTTGGTTCCGATGTGCTTACCTATTTTGAAGAATCATATAATGTATCGTATCCACTAACAAAATGTGACCATTTCGCTATTCCAGATTTCTCAGCAGGTATAATGTCTACATTTTTCTCATAATATTTTTATCTTAAAATACTGTTAAATATCGTATCATAGTCATATCACATGCTTATCCCATAAGTATTTTTAAAAATAATTTCTAGGTGCAATGGAAAATTGGGGACTAATCACCTATCGAGAGACTGCTCTATTGTACAATAATAAAACGGGTAATTTAGCCAATAAACTACGGGTTGGAGAAGTTGTTTCACACGAAGTTGCACATCAATGGTTTGGTAACATTGTTACGCCTCTATGGTGGAATGATATCTGGTAAATCTGCGTGAACCAAATTATAACTAGACGATGATGACCTCACTCAAAATTATTTTGTTTTCATTTTAGGCTCAATGAAGGATTTGCATCATGGGTGGAAATATTGGGTTTAAATAATTCTAGTCCAGAATTTCATCCATTAGACGTTTTTGTAACAGCTACACTTCATCGTGCATTAGTTATGGATAGTCTGTTTTCTAGTCATCCAATAAGTGTCGATGTTGAACATCCAGATGAAATTAATTCAATATTCGATGCTATATCATGTAAATTATAGCACTTTTAACTTAAAATGGTAATTGTACTCTTATTCTTATTCTTCCTAGATGACAAGGGTGCATCGATATTACGAATGATCTACATGGTGATTACTGAGCAAAGATTTTATAAAGGTGTCTCAGAATATCTCAATGCGTTTGCCTTTAAAAATGCAGTACAAGATCAATTGTGGGAATATTTGACCAATGCTACGACGCCATCGTCTATTCTTGATGGAGAAGAGATTAAAACCATAATGGACACATGGACATTACAAGAAGGATATCCATTACTTACTGTTACACGAAATAGTGCAAATGGTCAAGCAACAATTAGACAAAAACGTTTTGTTTTAGATCCAAATTCGACAAATCAAACATCCAACTATGTTAATCCGTTTAACCTACCATTTCAATGGTATATTCCATACACTTATCAATCTGCAAGTGGAGTTCTATCACCGTTCGAATGGTTAAAACCAAATGAAACTAAAATAATTAATATACCTGGAAATTCTGATGACTGGTTATTATTTAACATTGATCAATTTGGTTTTTATCGTGTCAATTATGATTTGGCTAATTGGGATCGAATAATGGGTGCATTAAAAACTTCTAGTTATAATACATCGTTTAGTAGTGTAACACGTTCACAATTAATCGATGATTCGTTTAATTTAGCTCGTTCGAGAGATTTGGATGCCACTGTACCGTTAAAATTGTCAACATATTTATGTAATGAAACAGAATATATTCCATTTTCATCATTTTCCACAAATATTCAATATCCACTTATCATGTTTAGTCAAAATGAAAGTAGTACAGCTTATAAACAACTTCAAATGTATGTTCAAAATTTAGAAAAACCAATTTATACCGTCTTAGGATGGGATTCAGCTGTTGATGATGATTATTTAAAACGTCAACTTGGCTCACTTGTTATCGGTGATTTATGTGCTAATGGTTTAACAGAATGTTCTAATCGAGCAGTTCAAGAATATTCACAATGGAAACAAAATTCAACATATTCAATAAATCCGGATTATCGTAGTACGGTCTATTGTCAAGGTGTTAAAAGTGGAACAGATGATGATTATAATTTTATATTAAATAAATATAAATTGTCAAATGATCAAGTGGAAAAAAATCGTTTTGGTTATGCTCTAACATGTACGAGAAATGAACGATTATTAGGTGAATTACTGAATGATACATTAAAAGGAGAGTATATTCGATTACAAGATTCTTCAACATTCATAGGACGTATTAGTGTACAACCAGGTGAGTAAATTATTAATATTGTATGAAACAGATGCGTTCTTAATATTATTTTATCTTAGGTGGTCAAAAACTGACATGGAAATTTATTTCAACACGTTGGGCAGAATTAGTTCAAAAACTTGGCAGTTTAAGTTTTACACTTAGTAGTATTGTTGAGAGTGTACTTCAGTATGTGAATACGGACGAAGACCTTCGAAATATTGAAACATTTATTGCAAATACACAAGATTTATCTATAGCAGAACGGGCATTTTTATCATCAATTGAAAAAATACATGCCAATATTCGATGGATGAATACAATTGGAAATGACTTTAGAAGATGGTTAGATTCAAATGTTAATCAAACAGGATGTAATTCGTAGTAATAACAAAAAAAACGTTTCTTAACAACCGTTTTGTTTTATTTATTTCCTTGAATAATCCGTCCTATATATGTGTTTGTTTTTATATATTTTTGTGTTTGTGCATCTTATTGTTGCTTGTTAAAATTAAATATATTTTATTCCGATGTAACCACTCGAATATTCGTCTATATGGATTTATGTATGAAATGATGGCTGTATATGACAAACTTTTTTTAAACACGATGTTATTTTTTACATTTTGTCGAGAACCACTTAAGTAATAATATCATACAGCATGACGACATAAGAAACGTTTATCTGCATGAATTCATGATATAGATTGACAGACTTTTTCAGCTGATTTAAGAAAAACTAAATTTAGTTTACTGCGGAATTCAGTACTTATTCACCATAAAACTGTAAACTGATCACCATTCACCATGTACTTAAAGAAGAGTAGGTATATAAATATTGGAAATCTCTGTTTTTTCGGCTATATATACTTAAAATAGCGAGCACTGAAGAAGACCTACAGAAAATGATTGATATAGTCTCAAGAGAAAGCATAAAGATGGGACTATCACTCAATGTCAAGAAATCGGAATGCATGAGTATTTCAAAGAATAAAACCTCA